GACGCCACATGAATAACTATAAYGRCAGTATCGCCGAGACAAAAATATCGCTTTCACTCTCTCTTCATTTAAAAATTAATGTRTTGTGTGCATTTGCGTGTCCCTTGGTCACTATAYATATACCTACGTCTGTTATACAAGACTTACAGGTACCTACGACTAATTTATAACAATAATACTCGCGGTCGCTTTACCACCAACAATCACACGCACACGATTCAGTATTCACTAACGATATTATAATATATATATCCGACCGTAGAACGGGGAATTTTAGGCGTCTTTTTTCCCGCCCCACTATCAYCGACACAAAACTGAAAACATTATAATATTACACAACGTATTATAAAATTATAATGACTTACCTTTAAGACGACGAGTTATCACTTATCATTGATCTTTACGATAGGCGTCTGTATATTCTGTACGCTTCCAAAGCTTGGCTTAGATGGCGGCAGGGACTGAAAACTATTGGAAAAAACCGATTGGTTACGAGAAAAGAACCTATTTCATCTATTCTGAGGTTAGGCCTCAAAACGCCTACCAAATCCAAAAAAAAAAAACATTATTATCGTGCCTATTTCATATACATCAATAATAAGAGGAGACAAGTAGACAACATTCCGGCAGAAGTTAAAATAATCTACACTGAGTAATTCACCAAGCATACTCACCCACCCCTATATTTTCTTTTAATAAAGRATTTTCAAAAATACTCAACAAATTTTCAAATTCTTGAAGTGTTTTGTACTACGTCAGAAGTATCCCGTGATAATAAAAACTTGTTATTTTTCTATAAATTATTTAATGATTAATTTCTTAGAAAATTTTAATGAACTTAATTTATAATCAATTAAATTTTATTAAAATGGCAGTACCTATTAAGGATGAAAGTCTTCAAAAATGGTTTCACAAAAATATAAAATAGACGTAAACTTGGATCAGTCATTTATTATAATTGGGCCATTTTTTACAAACTATTAATATTTATGACTAAAATGTTCATATCACTACCATCAAAGGCCCCTATAAATCTAATAAGTAATAAGCCCATTAGATACCATGGACCTAWTATCCTTAGAACACAAACATTACTATACCTAATATAAATTTTGATTCTGATATATCAACATTTTCTAAAAAATTATCCACTGTATAATTTACAATAGAAAAGTGGTGTTTTCATTTCATAAAACAGAATAGTTTGTATCCCTACAGATCACCAAAGTACAAAGGATCTTAAAAATATATAAAGATCAGAATCTTGCATAAGTACATTTTTGAAGAAAAAAATGGGGTGAGCTTGGTTGGTACATTGGTTTGGAACACTTTTTTTTTTTTGTCGGTCCCCGAATTATCCAGTAAAAACTTTGATTGATTGTAACTTGTAACCATTTACCATATAATTTTAAAAAATGTGTTCAATATTATCAATACATTTCATACATACAATTCTTAAAATAGTGTTTTACTTCAGGCTATCAAATTAAATATTAAAAATATATATTGCTATTTGATAATCAAGATTTAATAAATACATTCATCAATATTAAACAGTACAATAAACATCATAATATGACCTTAACTATATAACTATAAGAGAACACAAGATTAAGGCAATAAGAAAATTTAAAATCTCATTATTTTAGTATGCTCTGTATTTACGTTTTTAAAAAGTAGTTTTTCAAATTAATTGACATTTTTTGAAATATCTAGTGAATTGTGTTTATGATTGATGAAACTTCAAGTTTTAAATAAATTAAAATTATTATGTGCACTGTTCTGAAATTCAAGGCGATTGTTCTAGAATTCAATATTCAGTATATTTGTACTTAACTAGTTACTAGTTTATTTATGTCGTAAATTTACAAAAAAATTTAGGATTTA